AGTTGTATGTTTTCATTCCTTTCTCTTTCTCTTTTGTGTATCTACTATGGGTTTTTACTTGTTTACCAAGAGGCTTACATAAAACACCTTATATATATAACAATCTATTTTAAGGTGATAGCAACTTAGAATGCATACAAAAGCTCTACATTTTTACATCCCCCCCTACATTTTATGTTTTTGACATCACAATTACATTTCTTCATACTGTATATCCACCAACACATTGTTGTATAGTTATTTTTAATAATTTTGTATATAATTTTATGTACATAAGTTTATAATTTTAAAAATTTATACTATTTTTGTATGTAATAATTTTAACCTTTATACTAGAGTTATAATTGATTTACCCACCATCATTACAGTATTAGAGTTTTCTGAATTTAACTATATATTTACCTTTGCCAGTGAGTTTTATACTTTTATATGTTTTCATGTAACTAATTTGTGTTTGCATTTCAGCTTGAAGAACTCCTTTTAACGTTTCTTATAAGGCCTTTCATGGTGATGAACTCTTTCAAGTTGTGTTTACCTGGAAAATTTTTTCTCTCTCCTTGAATTCTGAAGGACAACTTTGCTGGATAGAGTATTCTTGACTAGCAGTTTTTCCTTTCAGCACTATGAATTCATCATTCCACTCACTTCTTGCTTGGAAACTTTTTCCTGAAGAATCTGTATAGTCATAAGGGGGTTCCTTTGTATGTAACAAATTGCTTTTCTCTTGCTGCTTTTAAGATTCTTTATGTTTAACTTTTGATAATTTAATTATAATGTGTCTCAGTGTGGTGTCTTTAGATTCATCTTATTTGCTACTTTTGGCCTTCCCGGATCTGAAAGTTTGTTTTTCTCCCCAGTTTAGGGAAGTTTTAAGCTGTTATTTCTTTGACTAAGCTTTCTGACCCTTTCTCTCTCTCTTCTCCTTCTGGGATCCCTATTATTCTTTCATTGGTGGAGTTCAATAAGTCCTTTAGTTATTTTTACTCTTTTTTATTCCTTTTTATTTTTGTTCCTCCAATTGGATGGATTCCACTGCCATTTTTTAAAGTTTTCTTTTCCTGTTTTGATCTAGTTTGCTATTGAAACCCTCTATTGAATTTTTTCAGTTCAGCTCTTGTATTCTTCAGCTATATGATGTCTCTTTGGTACTTTCTTATATTTTCCCTCTCTTTGTTTTAATTCTCGCTTCATTCATGCATTGCTCTCCTGACCTCAGAAAGCATCTTTATGAGTGTTATTGTGAACTCACTATTGGGTAAATCACTTATCTTCATTTCATTATTATTGTTTTCTGGAGATTTATCTTGTTCCTTTGTTTGGAACATATTCTCTTTTTTCTCAGTTTTCCTTGACTCCCTGTGTTAGTTTCTGCACATTAGATAAAACAGCCCCTTCTTGCAGTCTTGGTGGAGTGGTCTTGTGAAGGAGATAGATCTCATCAATCAGCCCAGGCTGAGTTCCTGGTTGTCTCTAGACACTTTGTGACCATTCAAGTTGCCATCTTTGTTGTTAGTGGCTCCTAGTAGTTGAGGGTATGCCAAGACTCATCAGTGTCCTGAAGAGGAGGATCCCGGTCAGCACCTAGATGCAGCCTGAGTAGAAGCTAGTTCCTCAGGCAGCAACTGGGAAAGTATGTAGTTAAGCCCCTGCTAGGGATTAACTGAGAGAGTGACACTTTTGCTTGCTCCTTCTGCACTGAGTCCTGCTGTATAGCCTTGAGGAGGTGCTCCTGCACTCATTTAAAAACTGTGTCTTTGTTGGTTACAGTCCTGTGAGATTCATGAGTGCAAGCCTCATTAGCTATATAGAGCAATGCAATCTTGGGGTCTGTCCTTCAGGGGACAGCCACAAAAGCTGGAGTGTTAGATGTGAATATCAGCTCCTCCCACAGAGATGTTGGCAACCTGGTTTTATCATTGAGGTGAACTGGAGGGACAATGTAGTAGAAGCGTCCACCAGCTCCCCTGAGCTCCAAGGAAGATCAGAGCCAACCCCTAGATGTGTGGCAATTAGAAGCCAGACCCTCAGGCAGCAGCAGTTAAACCCCTTTCAGGGAAAGTGGGAGATGGGCATTTTTGCCTGTTCTCTTTGCATTAAGCCCTGGAGGGATAATCTTGGTGACTGCTCATGTGTGCACCCTTTAAGAACTGCTTCTTTGTTTACCGTAGTCTTGTTGGACTTGTGAATGCAAGACTCACTGTCTTTCAGAACCAGATCCAAGGACTGTTTCTTGGGTGGCAGCTGCAAAAGCTGGGATGCCAGGCTGTGTACAAGCTCCTTCAGAGAGTTGTTGGCGACCTGGTTTTATAGCTGGAGAAGACAGCAGATGTGTCTACCAGCTCCCTTGGCTCTGTGGAGGGTCTCTGCCAGTCCTTGGATGTATGAAAACTAGAAGTTGGACTCTCAGGCAGAAGATTGAAAAGTATTTAGTCAGTCTCCTCCCAGGGAAAGACTGGGAGATTGGTGTTTTTGCCTGTTCCCTCTATGCTGAGCCCTGGGGGATAGGCACTATGAGTGCTCACACTCCTATTAAGAATGACTTCTTTGTTTTCTATAGTCCTATGAGTCTCATGGATGCAAACCCTATTGGATTTCAGAGCTAGATGCTTTGGGGGCCCATCCCTTGGGTAGCAGCCCTAAAAACTGGGGCATTAGATGTATGGTTTAAACTCTTTGTTCCTTAGGGAGAAGCTGTAAGTTGAGAGTTCCCTCTTGATTGTATGGCTCTATGCCAGGGGTAGAGTTTACGGTTAAGAGTGTGTCTCAGAATTTCCTATCCATTTCAATGTGGATTTTTTCTGAGTTTCCTGATATGTGGGAGTCACTCAGCTAGTTTTTTAATTTCTGTCAGAGGAAATTGCTCCCTTGTAGCTGTTTATTCAGTGCATCTATGGGAGGAGGGAAGTTAAGGGGACTTCTATGTCACTGTCTTGGTCCCTCTGACTAAATCAGTCTTGATAAGTGGGTTAAGTAGCAGTTTCCCATTAATTGTAAATTATAAATGGACTTTTTCTTAACTTCACTTCGAGAATATTTGCTGCTAGTATATAGAAATACAATAGATTTTTGTATATTGACCTTTTATCCTGCAACCCTGCTGAACTCATTTATTAGTTCTCATAGTGTTTATTATATTCCTTAGTGTTTTCTATATATAAATCTTCTTCCTTCACAATCTGAATGCCTTTTTATTTATTTTTCTTGCACAACTGCCCTTGCCAGAACTTTCAGTACAATATTCAATAGCTGTGAGAGGACATCCTTGTCTTGTCCCCAATCTTAGGGGAAAATTATTCATTATTTCAGCATCATGTGTAATGTTAATATATTTCTTTTGATATTAGATTGACTTCACATTTGGGAATCCTATGTACATGGCTTTCAAGAAATAGAAGTTCTCAAGTTGTTGACTGGCTCAATGAATCAAAAATCACTCTAGTTTTGGAAATCACAGCTATTTAGAGATAAATGACTAAGCCAATAGAATCTATAGTAATACATTATACTACAATGTAGATATGCCCAAGTTACTGGGACAATCAAGTGTTACAATGACATCAACTATAGATAGTAAAGCTTGCTTATTTTTAATGAGAGTGGTGGTTATATTCCCTGACACAAGCAAAAATGTTTTCTATTTCACATATTGTTACTTAGTCATTACATAGATAACTTAAATAGGCTGCCATCTGATAGGGCTAAGACAGGCTGTGATACTAATTAGGATGTTATAACTATTAATTACTTCCATCTTGCATTGGTTTTGTCAATAGTCAATAACATATGGAGTTTTCCCCTGAATTCTATTGTTTGGAATGAATAGATGTCAAAACTCTTTATTTGCTAGAATGTCCTTATGTAATACCGTTATGAATGCAGACATTCCATAAACATAAGGTTTTTTCTCTTATAGTGATTAATACTATACTATATTAGCTTTAAGATTTGTATTTTTATAAAGTAAATTAAAAACCCAGACTCTGGGCTCACTAAAATCAGTGAAAAAGACACGTGAAAACTTCTTTGTATTTTCATGATAATCCATTAAGTAACAAAATTAAATTTTATTCAAGAAACACAATACAGTAAGAGTTTACAGTCTACAGCTACATTTTAATATCTCAACTCCATAGTGAAACCCAATTCACTAAACACTGAAAATTCCTGTCTCAAAGCATGGTGGCCCACTTGCCACATGAAAGGAGTAGATAAATCAGAATCTCTTTTGCAGCCTTTGGTTCTTTTCCTGCTTCAAGGACAAGATGCTCACCAAAGAAATATGTTGTAGGAAAAGAGAAAAAGAAGAAGACATCTTTAACTCCTCTAGGATAAAACAACTTTTGAGATCAAGTCCTTTGGGCAGATGGTACTCTAATAAAGCAAGGAGAATGGCCCTGTGCATGGCCAGTTTGCCCCCGACACTGCGAAGTTAACAGGCTTTATAGTAAGCCTTGCCAAGAAACCTAAAAGGACTTGCCTTAGACTTTAAGGATTTTATATTAATGCATTTATCTTGTTCAATAACCATGTATATATAATACATGAAAAGTTGACAGTTTAAAAAAATTTGGGTTACTTCCAATCGAAAGACTTCATTTCAATCTATTTTTCTTAAAATTAGAGAACATGGGTCATCACTTTCAATCATTCTTATAATACTCCTAAATATTGGCAATCTTTATCCATAAACTAGCACATTTATCATTAACACAGAGAAAAGGCCACTATTTAATTTGCCAAGTGATCTTATAGTAAAGCAAACATTATAATTAGTTTTAAAGGTCACTTTGGCAGATATCAGGCTAATCTGCATGAAAATATATTGAATTCTACATTAGAAATCTAATGATCACTGTAATAAAAATATTATCCTCTGTTATAAAAAGCTTAGTAAGTAATATAGTCTAATTATTTATTGGAGTATTATTTGAAGGCATAGTCAAAATAATCTTGAATGCTTGAGAAATGCTTATGAAAAATAGAAAATAAAGAGTTCTTACCAAGTTTGCAATGATATAATGGTAGCCTTTAACATGCTTTCCAACACTCACAATCTGTGGAGACATAAGGAAATAAGAGAAAATCAATTTAACTTTATTGGATGATTATATGTCTACAAAATAGAATTTTAGCTATTCTACCAGAATGCCATGTGGAAACATGATGATAAAATGATACAGTTTTCTTTATAAAAGTGATTTATCTTAATTAGGAGAAATTCATAAGCCACATTAAAAATGAAGTGTTTAAAGTTAAAAAAAAACACTCTAATTTTAATCAAACTGTATAAATGATCAATCATTTCAGTATACCGTGTTCAGAAAACTACCATGCTATATAATCCCCTCAAGAGAATGACAATGTTATGAAAACACCAATAATTTATAAATATTTCTAAAAAAGAACACATTAGCATAAGAAGCTTAAAATCATTTTGGTCCAAAGAATTTAGATGTACTTAATATATTGATAATTTACAGAAATGCACTGTAGACAGGTGTTTTCAACTGGTAAGCATGATTTCCTCTGAAGAGATTGGATTTTTCTCCTAAGCAGCAAGCAAGATTTTTCTAAGGTACAATCTCTGTTTTTAGACACTTCTGATACCACAGAATATGTTGTTAATTTTTATTTGCATATGGATACTGCAATATTTTGTTACAATAAAAAGAATAAGGACAAAACAACAGGCTTTTCTCTTTGCTAGATTCTTTTTTTTCGGTAAGAATGTTTTAAGGAATGTTTAAGAAATTAGAAATTGAAACATTATAAAAAAAGGAAATAATAGAATTTTTTTTAAACGTGCAATTTTATATCTGCATTAGAGATTAAAATTCTTACTTTCTGTAAAACTGAACATTCTTTCAATGAGAGAAAAATCTGATTATAGTTACTAATTAGGAGTTTTTACTTTGCAAACTCTTTAGTGACCTCAAAGGTAACAATGCAATATAAGATTTCCATGTACTTTCATCATCAAAGAAGAAATTAAATTGTTTGTAGCATTTTAATATCCTCTAAAATAATCCTTTGTAAATTAGTGACTTGTGTATGAAATACAGGAAAATGCTTTTAAATCCAGAACATATGAATTGTCTTAAAAAACAGTTTTGCTTACATGGCTATTGGTGAAATGGAATATCTGCTCATCTCATCTTTTCTTTTTGATTACATCTGAGATCTTATCTTTGTCTTTAAGGCTCTGCAGTTTCACTAGAATGAGTTTGGATTTTTTTTTTTTTTATATTCATCAGGATTTGTTGTTCTTCCTTACTATGATGATTGCCCTTCAACAATTCTGGGAAATTCTCAGCCAATATTCCTTAAAATACCTCTGCAAAGATGTTTTGTGTTTGCGTCTAACAGAGACTGCAATGTTGGTATCATTGGCCTGGGGCCACTTTATGATAATTTCTCAGTTTCCAGATTCTCAGATCACAGTGTATGATATAAATTCAACATACAATCTGCCAAAAGAAGGCTGTGATGACAAATTCTCAGAGGAGATATTTCCCTCACTGCACTAAGCCCAGGCCAAGAGAAAAAACACTTAGTTGACTCCTTGTTCAGGTGGGGAATTTTTTTCTACTCTTCTCTTTTTTGGGGTGTTGCTCTTCAATAGTCTGGCTTTATATGAGCACTGAGGTCTAACTTATTGCCTTGATGAACCCAAAGATCCTGTTCTTGGGTGAACATTAAATCCCCAGTCAGGCTACCCAACCTGGCAACTTCCTTCAACACAGTTGCCTTTCATTCCTGGCCCATGAAGATTTTCTTTACTTTCTTGGAAGCTCAGCTAAGCATTTGTAATGTTTTACATGGCATTTCTACATGTTTTTTTTTTTTCTTCTTCTTCTCTCTAAGGCCCCCCGGTATATAGTTGTATACTCTAGTTGTGAGTGCCTCTGGTTGTGCAATGTGAGATGCTGCCTCAGCATGGTCTGATGAGCAGTGCCATGTCCGTGCCCAGGATCTGAACCAGTGAAACTCTGGGCCACTGAAGTGGAGCATGCGAACTTAACCACTTGGCCACAGGGCTGGCCCTTCTACACATTTTATATTGCCAGATTTATCTAGTTCATAGTTTATTTAAAACTGAACTTCCCTTGACAATCTCACCATAAAGATGAGGACAAGCAATAAACAGATGAGATTATAATGAAAATTCAGTAAAGAAACAGCTTAATTACTCATCATCTTGGGTAACCCAAGCCTGAGTGATTTTGCACAGCCTGAGCAGGCTGCAGCCCTCCCTCTTATTCTCTGGGAACCTCAGGTACAGCTTGTGCAAAAGACAATTATCAAGGAACGCTTGATGGGTTGTACTCAGTTGGGAAACTGCACACTCTATTATTGAGTCTACCAGAGATTCTTGCTATTTGAGCTCAGCAGGAATTGTTGTCACTCAGCAAGCTGTTATTTATCTCTTGCTGATTCAGTATAACTTTCTCTGGTGTGGCTCTTTAAGCCTTTTTGCCCTCTTTAAGCCCCCATACTCATCCTGCCTCTTCTCTCTCAACACTCTCAGCTTGTGATTTCTGTGTGGTCCCTGTCAATAACCTCTGCTTTCTTTTAAATTCATCCTAAAGTGTAAACACTTATAAATGTTAAAAAAATATGGAACCAGTGGGCATTCTGCACCAGGTGCCTCCAAAGAAATCATTGTCAGTTCCATACTGCCCCACAAAGAACTGTAATAAATTAAAGCTATGTAATATATTTTCAAGGGGTGAGGACTTACAGAAATCATAACTGAAAGTGACAAAATTCCTGGCAGAAAAGGCCTTGCAGAGCTTGATACACGTCTATATTCTGGGAACTGAGGGCCTCAGGGAGTAGTGACCTGAAGATTTATTTACTTGGCTAGTGACGCTAGAGAATACCATTTTTGCTGAGCCAGATCCTGGCTGGGGAAAACAAATGTGCTGCATGAACTGTTGCGAAGGCCTCATTGCCTTTGAATACCCCCCACCCTGACTTAGTGAGACTATGGTTTAAGGCCAGATCTTGGTCCCTATGCCGAGCATCCACCACTAGATGGAAGTTTCTTTGTGAAGAATCCCAATTTATATGCCATAGTAAAGTATCCTGAACCTAGAGTGTCATTTGTTTGTTTGTTTGTTTTTAACAATTGTGTAAAGCTGACAATGTCACGGGTGCAGTTTTACATGGCCTTTATCACCTCAACCAAGTGAAGACCATTTTGTGTGAAAAAAACAAATCTGAGTAACTTGACTTGGGATGCAGACCAAACATCGTGTCTCTGTATTTCTGATGTTATTCTTTTGTTAATAGGGAAAATAAGCAGCTTGAGAGGAAAGATATGAATATAAAATAGCACTACCTTCATACAAATGTGTTTGGCCAGGTTGTTAAAGGAAAAGAATGCTTGGAGTGAAGACCTAGTTGCAATAATTAATTATGGCCTTTCATAAAGACAGAAAAATGTAGGAGTGGAGAATCTGAAACTCCATTCTTTTTATCTTCTTAGAAGAAATGGAGGATGCAATAATACAAAGAATAATGATCAAGTGTGTTTAGAGCGGCGTCATAAACAATGAGTTGGGAAGGATGTACAAGTGACATTGATCATACACTTTCAAAGGAGCCCATCTTTACAAGAATAAAATGCTTAAGAAAAGTGACTAATTGATTCTTTTAATTCCTTTTTTTGTTTTCTAAACAATTGTTTAGAAATATTTATGGTGCTGGTCAAATGATTCAGTTCTAAAATCAGACCTACGTATAGCAATAAAATAAACAATTATTTTATTAAAAAATTATGGCATGAATTGGGGCTGCCCGGTGGCATAGTGGTTAAGTTCGTGTGTTCCACTTCGGCAGCCTGGGGTTTGCTGATTTGGATCCTGGCACAAACCTACACACTGCTCATCAAGCCATGCTGTGGCAGCATCCCGCATAGGAGAACTAGAAGGACTTACAACTAGGATATACAACTACGTACTGGGGCTTTGGGGAGGAAAAAAAAAAGAGAGGAATATTGGCAACAGATGTTAGCTCAGGGACAATCTCCCTCACCAAAAAGTCTTTTAAAAAACCCACAAAAGTGAAGATAAGAAAAAAAATTATGCCATAATCAATCTTTATGAATGCGACTTCTAAATCTTTACTCACTCATTAAAATTAGGGAAAAATGAATGCAGGACACTTTTCCATCTTGACCCCCCCCTTTAAATAAACTTAGTTTAACAAATGTCTCCTATGTATACGCTTAGGTGAAGGAGATTCAAGGATTATAAAGATAAGTAAGTTGTTGTTGCTATTACAAGAGTGTTTATTATCTTATAAGGAGGTGAGACTCAGGCAGAAATGACTGAAATACAGAGTAGAGTAAAGGGAGAGCTATGGGTTTTAAGGAGAAGTGATGTCATCTGGTTGGGACAACGAGGTAGGCTTTTGTTTTTGTTTATTTTTTGCCGAGGAAGATTCACCCTGAACTAACATCTGTTGCCAATCTTCCTCTTTTTGTTTGAGGAAGATTCGCCCTGAGCTAACATCTGTGCCAATCTTCCTTTATTTTGTATGTAGGTCACTGCCACAGCATGGCTGCCAAGAATGGTATAGGTCTGTGCCTGGGAACCAAACACAGGCTGCTGAAGCAGAGTGCACTGAACTTAACCACTAGTCCACGGGGCCAGCCCTGAGAATGAGGTAGTTTTTAAGAGAGAATAGATGCCGCATGAATATTGATTGAATGGATGAATAAAGAAGTTAATGAACATACAGATGTCACAAACACTAGTATATAAAGATTAATTTGAAAGTCGCAAATGAACGAAAGTTTGGCCTTCAATCCACAATCAGATTTTACGTTAATCTTTTATGTAGCAAAGGTTTATAAAGCACTCAGGAGTCTTTCTAAATAAGAGCTGATGTATGTTACCTCAAACTATTATTATGAAGCTGTGATTATTGTATTAAGCACTGTCTTCAAGATCAAGACCTGCAATGGCACACTTGAATATGAATGATTTTGGTTTCCCTTTTAATTTCATTTTATAAGTCAGCTGGAAATTCCTCTCCCAGTTGTTAT